AAAGAAAGAAAGAGAAAGAAAGAAAAATGTGTGTAATACAGAGACTGTTTATATACAAAGTAGTCAAGTCTGGCAAATCAAAAGAAAGCTGACAACCTCCCCCTTCTTAACGAACAAAAGATCTGAAATGCACCACACTGAAAAAGGGCAATGGAGACTGATAGGCATATGAAAAGGTGTTCAAAATCAATATTCTAAAGGAGATTAAATTAAAACAAAGAAACACCAGTACACACCTACCAAAATGGATAAAATTAAATATAATGCAAAAGCTAGTGTCGATAAGCAACTGGACCTCTCATAAGCTGCTGGTGAGAGCAACAACTGGGACAGCTGCTGGGAGAAACTGCTTGGCAGCACCTACCAAAGCTAAACATAAGTAAGCCCTCTACCCCAGTACTTCTGCTACGTATATACCCCACTTGAAATAAATATATGCAGTTCCCAAAAGAAATTATAAGAATGTTCTTAACCAGCATTACTACAACTGCCAAAAACTGGGAACAGTATAAACGTTTGTCCATCAATAGAAGAGATAAAGGAATTATGATGTACTCATATAATGGAGTGCCACGCTATACAGTAACAAGAAATAGAAAACTTTTGTTGCATGCAACAGCATAGAAATTCAGACATATAATGAATAAAAGACACAAAAAAGTACACATTGTATGGTGCTATTACTATGAATTTTCTTTAAATGGCAAAATTAATTTATGGTGTTGTAAATCAAAACACTGGTTATGCTTAATGAAGGATAACGGCCGAGAGGGGGCCTGAGAGAAGTTTCTGGGGCTCAAGTGATGATACATACCTTGATCTGGGAGATGTTTAAATGTGTATGCTCAATTTGTAAAGTTCAAATTCCAAATTTACTTGTGCATTTTTCTGCACATATGTCATAACCTTACTTAAAAATATAGAGAAAATGGACGCCTGAGTGGCTCAGTTGGTTAAGTGTCTGCCTCTGGCTCAGGTCATGATCCCGGCGGCCTGGGATCAAGTCCCACATCAGGCTCCTTGCTCTGCAGGGAGCCTGCTTCCCCCTCTCCCTCTGCTGCTCCCCCTGCTTGTGCTCTCTCTCTCTCTCTCT